AATTTGCAGATAATTTGGAAGGCAAATTTTAAAATGCGTGAGTTCTGGGTACTTACTGTGGTACTCCTAGGAAGTGTCAGAGGATTGGCACGTACATCCTGCACGGCCCGCAACATGACACGTTCATCTGCAGTTCTGTTAAAATAATTTTAAGTTGCTGTAAGGAGGCTTACAAAATAACGCGAGAGAAGACATCTTACATTAGAAGCACTTCACTCGCGGACTTGTTCTCAAATTTCATTCATCGTGACAGCTTGATTTTCTGATGCTTCGCGCGAAATTGGGTAATTATGAGAGGTTCTGAGGCGTCGTGTTTTCAGTGCTCATTTGCAAATCCTTAAAAATGTTTTTTTTTGGAAGAAATATCCATGAGTTTATTTTACCTCCAGAAAACAAGACGACACCCAGAGCTTCATGCTGGTTACTAATAACTGTACCCTCTACAGAGTTCAGCTACCTCCAGGTCCTTATTTTCTGTCATTAACTCTTTTTTTTTTCTCCTTAAAAATATTTAGCGTGTGATACTAGTTTGCACTTGTGATCGGACAGCTGCAAGGTGCATTTTGCGACGTGCACGCTGCCTGGAGTGAAACCACCCGTGTGCGAGTTCTGGCTCCATTGCCAGCTGGCTGTGTGACCTCAGGTAACTTTCTGACCTCTCTGAGCCTCAGTTTCTACATTTGTGCAGTAGAGGTGATAATAGCAGCTTTTAAGTATTTTCGAATCTGTCTCTTGACTTGATTCTCACGGTGATTTCGTCCCCTTTTACAGATGAAACGGAAGGCCCAGCCACTGTAAGACTCTTGCATGAGAGCGTTCTTAGTTTTTCTTAGAGATCAGGCTTAAAGGCCGGGCTGGGCTTGGTCTGTTTTGCTTTGTTCCCCCCGTTGTTTTTCCGTATTGCCTTCCTTTGCTGATTGATTTTCAGTTTTTTTCCATCTACACCTTACGAATGTTTTCCCCTGTTCCCGGAGGAAATTATTACAAAAGTAAAACAGCATTATTAAGTGTAGTCTTTGATCTTTTGTATCTTGAGTGCTTGCCCCGATAAGTGGCCTTCCCTTACGGATGGACCTTGTAAATGAAAAGTCCAGGGTGCCTTCCTTCAGATGAGCGGAGATTTTAAAAGTAGGTTCAGAGTGCTGTGTCTTTGTTTCCTTCTTGCCACGGACTCTTTTTCATTTTTGTCCTCTGCTGCAGGAGCGCTGAGATGCAGGCCCCCAGCTCCAGGTCTGTACACCTGGGCGAGTGGCAGAAGAATTACTTTGCAGTTGCGTCTGGCGCGTGCACGGCAGGGCAGAAGGCGGACGCCTACCGGGCACAAATACTGCGCGTCCAGTACGCGCGGGCCGCCTCGGAGCTCTCCCCGGCCTGTGCTGCCCGCCTGTTCAAAAAGTATGCGGAGAAATACTCCAGCGTTATGGATTCTGACAATGCTGAGACCGGCTTGAACAACTACGCAGAAGACATTTTAGCTCAAGCGAGATCTCAGCAAAGTGACAGTGACAAGTGGAAGTCTGGGTTGTCGGTAAGTCACGTGTTCAGGATGCAGAAGGTGCAGGAGATGATGCAGGCGGGCAGACGGCTCCGAGACTCTGAGCTGGCACCTTCTGATGCGTCCGCGGTAATCCACAGAGCGGCCACCGTGTCCGACGTGGCTCAGTTTGGTGTTTGTGGTGGTTCTGGGGACAGTGACCCGTGGACTGACTCAGCCCGTGGGACAGCTAGGACCCAGGACATCCCCGAGAGCAGTGCTTCTCTGAAGGGCCCCCAGAGTGTCCAGCCACCGCCGGTCACTGACATCCCTAAGATGTGTCCTGCGGTCTCAGTGCCTTTTGGCGAATCAGTCACTGCAAAATCTTACACCAAACCATTGTTCGCAAGTGTCCGAAAGGAAGATGACTCCTCTCCAAAAGGCGCCGGAGGACTAAACGTGTTCTGCTCGAATCAGTCCCGCTTCCCTCCTGCCTGTGAAGGTCCACGGGAGGGGACCAACGCGCCTTATGGTTCTGGCACCACCGATGCACGTTCCGCCCCCACACTGAGGAAGGCTTTCGGTCAAACAGAGGACGACAGCCCGAGAGAGGAGAGCGGCCTGCCTGCTTTTAGAACTGCGAGAGAACAGCTGTGGGTGGAGCAGCAGAGGCAGCAGCGCGCGGCCCAGCGCGCGCCAGGCTGCTCGCACGGCGGGGTCAAAAAGTCCCTGGGCGCCGGTCGGTCCCGGGGCATCTTTGGGAAGTTCGTCCCGCCAGTACCTAAGCAGGACGGGGGCGAGCAGAGCGGCGGGGTGCCGGGCCGGCCTCGGGGCTCAGGGCGCGTGGAACCAGCGCATCCCGTGGACGAACGTCTCAAGAACCTGGAGCCCAAGATGATCGAGCTCATCATGAGCGAGGTCATGGACCAGGGCCCTCCCGTGAGCTGGGACGACATCGCGGGCGTGGAGTTCGCCAAAGCCACGATCAAGGAGGTGGTCGTGTGGCCCATGGTGCGGCCAGACATCTTCACCGGCCTTCGGGGCCCCCCTAAGGGAATTCTGCTCTTCGGGCCCCCCGGGACGGGTAAGACTCTCATCGGCAAGTGCATCGCGAGTCAGTCTGGGGCCACGTTCTTCTGCATCTCCGCCTCCTCCTTGACGTCCAAGTGGGTGGGGGAGGGGGAGAAGATGGTCCGGGCGCTGTTCGCCGTCGCCAGGAGCCAGCAGCCCGCGGTCATATTTATCGACGAAATCGACTCCCTGCTGTCCCAGCGGGGCGACGGCGAGCATGAGTCTTCCCGGAGGATCAAGACCGAGTTTCTCGTTCAGCTGGACGGGGCGGCCACGTCCGCCGAAGACCGCATCCTGGTGGTGGGGGCCACCAACCGGCCGCAGGAGATCGACGAGGCCGCGCGGAGGAGGCTGGCGAAGCGGCTGTACATCCCGCTCCCGGAGGCCCCGGCCAGGGAGCAGATCGTGACCAGCCTGATGTCCCGGGAGCGGTGCCAGCTCAGCACGGAGGAGGTCCGGCGGGTCGTGCAGCGGTCCCAGGGCTTCTCGGGCGCCGACATGACCCAGCTGTGCCGAGAGGCGTCCCTCGGGCCCATTCGCAGCCTGCAGGCCGCCGACATTGCCACGGTGACCCCGGACCAGGTTCGGCCGATTGCTTACAGCGACTTTGAGAACGCTTTTAGGACCGTGCGGCCGAGCGTGTCGCCGAAGGACCTGGAGCTTTATGAGGACTGGAACCGAACTTTTGGTTGTGGGCAATAAATGGAGCCCTGGGAACGGGAAGCTTGCAGCCAGGCCTTCCCAGGTGTCAGTAGGAAACTGGGCGTTTATTCAGCGGCCTTTACATGTGTGCTGTGAGCTCTGGGCCTCAGACCTAACTGAGTGACCGTGGGCCAGGTGTCACAGCTCAGGGACCTGGCCCGCGTTACGGAAGCGCTGTCTTTCTTCCCGGTGTGTAAGGTGCGACCTGATGTGTGAGTCACACGTGCTGGGAGCCGACCTGCTCGGTCGAGCTGCCCAGAGGACTTTTTGAGACGTGTGCCGTGGTGCACAGTGTGCTCGGAGAGAAACTTAAAAAATGCTTTGACCTGTATGCGAGGTTGTACCTGATCTGTGTCTATGTCCTGCTGAGGAAAGAGTTTCTCCTGAGGACCAGGTCGCTCCGTGCGTTTACATCCGAGACAGAGCACTGTTAATGTTGTTCAGTACATCTCGCAGCCCCAGCCAGAGCTGAAGCTGCAAGGTGGAGAAACGCTGCGTTTTTCCGGCACATCGGTGATGTTTAAAATGAAAATTTCACTCAACACTACCTCACGGCCTGTCGTGTTGGTGTCTTTTCAAAAATAAAAGTTCTCAGATTTGTATAGTGGACTGCTTTGTTTTCTAAACAATAGATGTTCTGTGTAGAAACGTTAGAAAATGGAGACGAACGTAAAGAAAAGGAAAACCACGGGAACCCAGCGCTCGGAGGACCACGCTGTTCACCTCTCAGTGCCGTCTGCCACCACGTGCCCCGCACGGCAGTGGGAGCGTAGCGTGCGTTCTCTTGTCAGTCTTTCCCTTTAGACTTACGCGAGCATCGTTCCTCGTGTTTACACAATCCTGCCACGTCCTCCCTTGCAGGATGGCCTCGGCTTCCAGCGTGTGGATGGCCTGTAACCTGCTCAGCCCTCTGTTACAGGGCATTCGGCCAGGTCATCGTTCAGTTTATTATAAAGAATGTTGAATGCCTTAGTGATTTAAAAAAAAACAATATATATATATATATATATATATTCATTTCTTGAGTAAAATTCTTGGCTTAAGGACTTGTAAAGCTTTCGGCGCGTGTTCTGAGTCGTCCCCTGGGGCCATGCTGCCTGTGCAGAATTCCCGTCCACACAGACTGTGTGACCTGCCCCCTGTCAGCTGCTCCTGGACGCCGTCCGCCTGCCAGTCGGACATCAGGCGGTTTCCTGTATTCATTCAAAAAACGTGTCAGGTGCCCGACGGCGTTCCAGGTGCAGCGGACAACACGGGACAAAAATCCTTGGTCTCGCAGAGGTGGCGTTCAAGTTCTGATGTGTTAACAAATGCAACTTATTAAGACACGGAATCGAAAACTTAGAGTCGGTGAATTGAGACAATTCTCATCTTTATTCTTGGTCTGCCTTCTATCTTTAGGCTCTTGTAAAAGCTTTGTTTTTCTAGCTTTCAGTTTCTCCGTTTGAACTGTGGAGCGGTCTTTGACTAGAATTTGAGTGTTAAACTTCTTGTCTTAGTGTTTTGTGGCACCTTTTAAAATCTGAAAGCATCTCGCCGTTTTCACGACCAGCTCGGTCCTTGTCCCCGTCGGTGTGAGCGCCCTGGGGTTTCCAGGTGTTGATGTCAAGGAGTTCTCTGCAACCTCTTCCCTGGTGTTAATTATTAATTCTTACAGGTCACTCCCGCCCCCTTGGACCTCACAGTGAACGTAGCTGTTTGGATTTATCTGCGGTTACCTGGTCGCTGCGAGGTATTGGTTTACTTGCGCAGCTTGGTTTATTATTTCCTCTCTATTTTTTTTCTCAACAGCGAGTTCTCCGGGGCCCCTTCCTTCTGCGGAACTCCTTTCTGTCAGGTTTTGTCCACGAGGAAGAACCTGGGTGGCTCTGCTCCCCGTGGATTAGGTCGTGCAAATGGGCAGTGGCCCCTCCTGCGCCGAGGTCCGCTCCCCGCAGGGGACACCAGGCTGGAAAGGGACGCTCAAATCGGGTCTTGCGAAGCACTGGGGAGTCACTTGCCGCGTGTTTGCACGTTCTCCCGCACAGAGGCATCCTTTTTTTTCAGGCTTTTGTGATGTGCAGTGTGTTTTTGAGGCATTTGGGTAGAAAGTTCCCTGAAGCCTCGACTGTCTCCCCATCTCCACATCATGAATATATTCTCTTGATGGAATGTGGCAACCCTGGTCGGAATTCTTTCCTCCTGGTTGCTGTGTTTGTGCTGTGCTGTTTCAGAGAAGCCACTGTTTTATTAGAGATGGGAACATCGCCCATTTATAATATCATTCAAAGATACATTTCCTTTATGGAAATACGCATGCACATTTTCCCACCACGTGCTTAAAAATGTTGGTAGGAATACAGTGATTTTTAAAAAATTTTTTTAGTATCAGGGCTTTTTAAATGTTTCTGTTATACGTCCGACTGTGATTCTTTTGAAGTATATTCTTTGGGAAATTCTGTTCCAATTTGTGGACTTCTCTGCCATTCTTTTGAAATTCTACTTCCTTGTCTCAATTCCAAACTATTTATTAGGTCTGCCTCTGCACCGGCAGGTTGATACGGTGGAATCAGTCAGAGGGCATGGACTTTGGGACCAAAGTCTGTCATGTACCAGCTGTGACTGTGGGCTGCTTACCTGTCCAGGCTCCGTTCACAGAGTGCGAACGGTCTGCACCTGTCTTGTCGGAGGCCGGGGGTTGCACAGTGAGATGCAGGTGTCGGAAGCCTTGCCCCCGAGGGCCCTCCGCCGAGCATCTGGGTCCCGCCTTCCCTGCTTCGGAGGATCGCTGTCTTTCAGCTGTCTCGTGTGGCGTCTCGTCTGGTTCTGCTTAACGCTTGTGACATTTGTATCTTGTCGATTATATGCCGCCTACGTTGATCCTTAGTTTCATGGGGAGAATCCAGTCCCAAAGGAAGGGGACATTTTAAACCCACCTCCAGAGACCCGACTGCAAGAGAAGATTCTGCCCGGCTCTGCAGCTGAAGGGCAGGTCACAAGAGGAGACCGCTTGGCTTTCTTCCCAGGTCTCTGCGTTCTGACCTCGAATCTGGCGTTGGCGAGGGAGCCAGGTGGGGCAGCTGTGTGACTCAGGTGAACGGACGGGGTCTTGGGGGAACAGATTCTGTAGGTCGTTATGTTTAACGCTTGTCCCTAAGTAAGACTTTGACTTTTTCCAACACACAGGTCCCAGCAGAGAGAGCGCTGAAGGGGCCTTAGAGAGCCGTCAGTGACCTTGGTCCTGAACAGCTTGTTCACACGGCCTGAGGTCTGTTTTCTTAGCCATGAAAGTAAGCGTGCTGCATGAACGTAATGGCACACCCAGACCTGCAGTTCCTTTATCAGTTACCCAATATGCATCTGTCAACTTGACAGACGCTTACAGAGGACCAGGTGCTGGGCGCTATTCTAGGTACAAAAAAAAAAACATTTAAGTGTTCTGTGTTTAAGAATTACTAATTTCTTCATCGTAGGAACAGGGACAACATGAACAGATTGCTCAGGGAGTTAAGTCAGTACAGTGTGCTGCTGAATATACAAATCTTAAAAAAGGGAGGGAAATTAAGTCCATGTAAGGTGGCATTTTTGGTGGCACACGTGGCTGAGGACACGCTGGGCCCTCGGTGCTTTGCCTCGGGGTCTCGGCCGCTGGCAGGGCCTTCCAGCTGGGGAAGCCCAAGTCCATTTCTGCCCAGAAGCGTCAAGGTGGCTTTGGTCCCTGAGACACCAGCAGGGCAGGCTCTCCCATAGCAGAGGGACCCGTGCAGCCAGGAGTGTTGTCGGCGGAGCTCAGAGCAGAACCCTGCCCCCTTCCTCCCTCCCCCTCTCCCCGCTGGGGCCCTGGACGTCCGGGCGGTGGCTCTCATGGCCTGTGTGGCAGACACGCCGTCCCAGAGAGGCCACATCCGCCACTGGTCCACTGTTTGGCGTCAGAGTTGCTCCTGAGATGCCTCTGGGGCACGTGACACCAGCTCCCTCCCCTCCCAGAGCGAGATACCAGTTCAATGAGAAAAGGCACAGGATGGAGGCCCCCAGCCACATGTTACATCTCCCACCCACACGTGCAAAGCCCTCGCTGAAGTGAAGGGGTAAAATCCAGTGAGGCCTGACCCACCCCAACGTTGGAACTAGGGACAAGGGCATTTTCCAACATGGGATCCCTCACCGTGGCTCCCAGTTATGTTTTTCTGATAATTAGTGATACTGAGCATCTTTTTATGAGCCTGTTGCCCATCTGGATGTGTTTCTTTGGAGAAAATTTTCAATAAGATGTCAGAAAAAAAGGTCACACATCGCAGGCTCACAACAGATGCGAGGAACTCCATGACCAATAAACAAATCCTCATTCATTACATAGCAAGGCGAAGTCCATGACACCGACTTTTATAAAATGAAACAGGAACAGTGACAATAAAGGGATGGAGAGAGACACAGGCAGGGGAGCGCACCTTCCAGCAGGACCAACACCGTCATCCCAGCGACTGAGGAGTCAGTGCGCAGAGCGATTAGCTTGGCAAGGAGAAGTATTTGACATAATAAGAGCCGACTGCCTCTTAGGCCATTCATGCACCTTCACACACGGAGCTGACAGCCTCAAAGTAAAAAAACTAACAGCTAAGAATTCTTAAAACACCAGCAGAAGTGTGAAAATGTCCGCAGGGCCCAGTGCTGGGCAAGGGTGGGCGGGCAGGGCGCCGTGCACCCCGGGGACGGTGGCGGGGGACACAGGGAAGTCCAGCCTATCCGACGGCAGCTCGGTCACGTCTGCCAAACAATGACTCCCCTTCTAGGCTTCCGTGCGGCGTCCGTAAGTTCGCTGCAATGTTTTGGCAGGTGGACACACAGCCCAGACGTCCAGCCGGGGGGCATCACGGATTCTCCTCCGTGGGTTCCTCCCGGCGGGTCCTCAGAGCCAGGAGGCAGCGGGACTTACATGATGGGGACAGGGTGCCGGGCTCTGTCACACAGGGGTCCGTGTGTCCAGGTGTCAGGAAAGGGGGCAGAGTGGCTCCAGAAGGACAGACAGAACCAGCGAAGAGCACTCACCTCTCTGGGGTAGAGTCGGGGGACGGCGGGGAACTTCCCCATCTGTCGACAACAATGTGCTCTTTTTGAAATTAAAAAAAAACAATACGCAAACGATGTAGTATTTTCAAGGTATTGAACATAGCATTGTTCAATAACGTTTTTTTTTAAATTAAAAGAACCATTAAGTTTATCAGCAAGTGAAAAAAGAGGCAAGCAGTGAGAACCGAAAAACCCTGTTCAAATCCCTTGAGAAAACATTGTGCGTTGCGTACGGCAACGGGGATGAGAACATGATGACCCAGACGCGGGTTGAAAGTCCCCACATTTCGCCCACATTTAAGACTGTATTTACAAGTAAACCTCTCAGAGTCAGAATCCGTAGCGGACAGTCATTCGTCCGACTCCAAACGGGCAAAGTCTATCAAAATCGCCTTCAGAAGTCGCTGTGACACAAATGCAGATTTCACCTGCATTTTAAGAAACTGTTCAGAAACCCACTGTATAAAAAAGAACGTTGGCTCAGACAACGTGCATGCAATGCAGAGCATTATCGCTGCGGCCACGGAAGTGGGTGCGTCCCATTTTGCCAGAGTTTGGGGG